GAGTAGCGTGTACTGTTAGGTTTGTTGTTACTGTTACTCGGTACTATAGCGTGGTAGGTATATCATCGTGACGTGGTAGAGCGCGTACTACGCGACAGCACCGCCCCTTCCTCTTCTGCCAACCGCTTTCTAATTTTATTCGGACCTTAAGTTTCAATTCCATTCGAATTACTCGTTGCGACTACCGTCCGATTAACATTTCTAAAAAGGAATTGTCAGCTGCTGAGTTGCGCAGGAGAAGAGGCTCCATTATCTAATCGGAAACTTGCATTTTGATGTTATAGAAGATGAGTCGAAACTCATTTTAATATATAACTGTTCTACTGGGCGAGTCAGTGATAGTTGAAAGCCACCCTGCACGTCACCCGCGTTGCAGGATTTTGTATCCTCCTTGTGTTTTATCCACGGATTCTGTCTGTATATTACTTGTGTTTAGTTTGTTTCTTTGGTGAGTGTTTCTTGTTGCTGCTGCTAGCTACTGCTTTCAGTCTGAAGATATGTATTATTATCGTTACGTATGCTACAAGTAACATAATCCCATTAAGTAGTAATATTTAGGATAATTATATAGCATGGAGTAAATAAAATGTACGTTCAACAGTTCAATAAAATTTCAAGTGGATTTAAACTGGACGGATACTAAACATCGAGTTTGTCATATCTGCACAACTACTAGCTTGTTGTGCCGTGGCAAATTTAGCACGCGTGAATCCCGAGGCGCAATTACATTTTAACCCCCTTCTAAATATTTCACTCCCTCTACACCGTAGTTTTCATTCTTGACGCGTGTTTTTTTAACTTTGGAGCACACTACCCCCTGGTGCCCCCCTAGATACATCTTCGAGAACAAAGCTGAGTTAAAAGAAACCCACAAAAGACATTGGCTTCATTTGAAATAACTATAGCTACACTCCTAAGCAAAGAAATTTCCGAAACTGTTGTTCTGAAGCATGGGTAAACATACGCCCCGCGCCGTCCAAGCGACGTTCTCACAACGTTACCAAATTTGAATACTATGACTTTGAACAATATGGACATTGAGAGCTGGCCATAGTCAAACAGAACCAATATATAAACTAGAGCAGGAGCATTGCATCTTTTAACCCTAGGAGACGGACAAAGACGAATGAGTGGCAATGTTTATTGTTATGATTGTTCCTGATGTTGCCATAAGCAGGATATTAAATAATTAGATATCATAGGATAAGTTTGCTCCCTACAAAATAACTGAATAGCATCAGCAAAAGGCTGAGGAATTCCCATTACACCCACCTTATTTGGACCCTTTCGAATCTGAATATAACCCAAAACCCGTCACATCGCTGCGTTCCCCCACTTCCAGCTGTCAATTTTAATAAGATTTATAAACTATACGGGACAAGATTATATTGCTTGTCAGTTATCACTCTGAATATTAATTTCAAAATCAATATGACCCACAGGTAACAAAAAAAAAAAAAAACTACATCTTTGTATTAAATTCTTAACTTACCAAAGAACGTGGGCGTAGCAAGGGGGAATAGAGCAACACCACCTTCATATCTAGGTGGTGTTGAATAGAGTGAGCAATCCGCCTCGTGTTACCTTACTTTAGGGGTGACATAAAGGAAAATTTTTGTTGTATGTGTAATTAAAATTGTACGTATAAATTTGAACGAAATATGTTGAAGCGAATTAAGTTTTTTTCTAATTACTAATTTGCCCGAATATGAGGAGTTTTATTCCTAAATATCTCATTCAAAATACGAGGACATCTTGCATTCCCAGATAATACTTAGTCGGTTGGGATCTGTTTTACTTTCTAGCTTACGTTTACGTACTTACGTAACGGAATGCTGCAGCGGAAAGTGGCGATTTTTCGACAGAACTCGCATTATATTAGAAAATTGTGAGATATATATATATATATATATATATATATATATATATATATATATATATATATATATATATTTCTTTATTAGTAAAACATTTCCTTGAATACGTTGTGACGTCAGGCATTGCGTTTTGGGTGACCTTTGTACCGAAAAATTGGGTTAGACCAAAACGTGTCGGGCCGTCCATGGCCAACACTAGCGCCTAAATCGTTCAGTGTTCTCCAGAATTGACATTTCCCGGCCAATCTGGTTCAACTCGAGATCCTGTGAATTCGAAGCGCATATTTTAATTTTAATTTTGGGGTTACTTTACATGAAACGCCATTTTCAAAATTTCCCCAAAAATGGCTGCAAATTTTTTGATTGCCTTTTTTTTGGTCGCAAAGTACGCCTAAAGAGTGGCGCGAGTCTTATTTACGTTGAACAATCAATTTCGAAAATCACAAAAGGTCAATTTTATCGGCGACTTCAACTAAATTGAAGCTACGTTTTTACCTTCTATGAAATTTAACGTGAATGGCATGCTAAATCTAAGGTTCTGAATTCAAATCCCAGCGTGAAAAAAAATCTGGTTGGAAAGATGTTCATGCAGGTTCTTGCAGTATTTTGCATGGCCGTTACGAATAATGAGAGAAAGTTTATGTAGCACCACTAGTTCATATTGTATTTCCATGTCAATACGCTCCAATTCAAAGGCAAGAAACTCGAATTCTGACGTAACAATTGCTACAAGACTATAAAAAACATGCGTATCATCATTATCCTAAAAGCAAAAAGTGCCTTGTCGCTGCCGCCACGACATTCTGTCGTCCGCTGTCCTCATTATCTTTGCGTAATTTCTGAAGTGTAGTTCGGTTTGAAGTTTCTCTAAAATTTTCTCCCCCTTCCTCTTTTTCCAACTAATTTACAGTCCGAATCTGCGTATCTATAATTGCATTCTATAATACCTAATTATATTCGCCAACGTATTCTTGGCATCCGCCATGGATTTTCTGGGCGATTCAGATCCCAATATTGTTGAACTGGTCGGTCATGAATCTCAAACGAATGGGATTCTAACAGATGAAACGCAACGTGAAAATGAATTAAAATCGTGGCCAAGATTTTGTTGATATTCAGAGATATAAGAGTTCGCAGTACAGGACACGCGCAAAATCTTAAACCCAATGCAAATTTCAAGCGAAAGGTTTTTTGAGAAGCATTTTCAGCAGCCCATGTGATCAATATTAATTATTGTTCTAGTCCTAGCAAGATTAGCGCGACATCAATTGTAGCTATGTTAAATATCTATGGACTGAGACAGTCTCCTTGCGGTCTCCTAGCATTTTTTGGGGGGTGATATTGTTTGACTTCTATACGTTGCAAGCTATGATGACAAAGTTTGCTTGCAGTATGTTCTGTAGCACTGGTAGTAGATACTCGTCTTCATTCGTATTTTCTTCTAGTTTCTGTATTAGTCTTGATCTGTTTATCCCAGTGAATACTTTGCAATAGTCTATAAATATTGTATAAAGTTTTCCTTCTAGTTCATGAAGTGCATTCATGATATCATGCTAGAGATTCTGTGCAGCATGGATGGTTGAGTGCCCTTTTCAGAAACCCATCTGATTCTTGGCTAACTTTTCTTCCGTGGCTTTAATCATTTGTTTCATTGGTATTTTCGTGGAGTTTGTAAGCTGTGTTTTGCAATGCGATGCCCCTGTAGGAGTCTGGTAACCTGTGTCACCTTTACCTTTATACAGGATTTTCACTGTCTTCTTTCCATATATCAGGGATTTTTCTCATGCATTCAGTGATTTTTCTGTGCATTTGTTGAACAGTAATACCCAAGGTTGCAGAGTCTTAATTGTTCATTGTAAATGTTGTCTGGTCATTTTGCTTTGTTATCTTTTAATTCTTTCAAGGTATTGGCTACTTCTCTGCTCATGATTGGGGGAAAACTCTTGTTATTTTATCTAGAGGCTCTTCAAAAGCACTGAGTTTATTTTGCTTGTTGAGAATTTTAGTGAAGTGCTCTTCCCAAGTACACATGTTTATGTAGATTGCGAGTATGGGTCTCTTATTTTTAAGAGCTTCTTTGGCAGTCCGTCTCCCTTCTTTAATGTATTCTGCTTTCTTTTACCTAAGGAGGGGTTTGTAGTTGTATTCATTTGGAGCATGTGTTTCTGTCTCATCAGTTGTGCTTCCGCTTACTTTCTGGCTTCTAGCATCGTGCAACAGCTTGAGTACAAATTTTCTTTCTTTATAACACTCAGCATCAAACCATACTTGTACTGTCGTTCTGTGGGAGGAACATGCAGTTTGAGCTTTGTAGATTACCTGTGAATGGGCTGCTTCATATGTTTTGCATTGTTTGATGTATTTCTTTATACTGCATATCTGACCTACTTGGTTCAAGGTTCTTTTTCTTTTAGGTTCTTCTTCAGTTTTTCCCGTGTTATATACCCAATTATGCTCTGGACTGCATGTACAGGATTATGTTTTTTAATAGGTGTTGCTGATCATTTTATTACATTCTTGTGGATTGTTTTTATCTTGTTAGTAAAAATTAAATCTATTGTGATTGTTCCATTTGATGCAGTGTAGGTTGCTTCTGATTTTTTATTTAGCATGAACATGCCTGTTTGTATTATGTAGTACTTATTTTAACGTACAGTAAACCTTTCATTTTTGATGTTAAGTTTATAGGCTATTCTATCTTATACAGTTTAATCTTGAGTGGTGTGAAGTGTTATCATTATTTAGTGGCACTTTGCATCAGGTGATATTAACTCTACCTACACCACTGCCAATGAATTTCATCAATTGGTGGATATTTATTGGATACTTTTTTGTAACTAGTGGTACTGCTGCTCTACCTTGGCCTTGAACAGTAAAAAATGCATGGGAGTGGGTGGGTTGTCTGTGTGTTCACTTTTGTATGTCTGCATGTACCCCCTTCTTTCATGATTTTCAAACAGTGAATGTATTATTTGAACAGTTTAAACATGTTTCCCGTCGTTCCATGCCAACATTTCTGATCACAGCTTATCCATTTTTTGGTCACATTGATGATTTCATTCTTTTTTTAATGAACTGGCTATTTATTGCCAGAGAATAATGTATTATGTATATTCGTTGCAGATTACTACACTAATGGGATGTTGACGAATGAAATGCTGAAATCTAAACACGAAGACGCCAACAAGAATAATTCTGTAGCAATAACACAACATGATATTCCAAGTTTGTGAAAAGAAGTAGGAAGACATGTTGAAACACATTGCAGCCACCCGGACTCCTATTTCTGGTTCTGCAACAGGTATAAGCTCACATTCTAAATTATTTGTTGTTTCAATGGAATTATAGTTTTAAGAAAGTTATTTTATTGATATTTCCAATGACAGAAAGGTTATACAAGTATCTCACCTCCACAATTCTGTCTTATTTGTTTATACATATAATTATAACATTTCTCACAAGTATATTATCTTTGCTTGTGAATTAATATGTCAGTCTTGTAGTTTAATGAAATTCACTAAGTAAAACATCAATTTAAAATAATTTGACTCTATTATATAACATTTATCAGTCTATGAAATTGTGATGTGTGTTTAAGTTAGTGGCATCATGGTTAAGAGCATTTCAGATTATACATATCTTTGCATTATGGGTATGTCAATTCGTACCATGAAAGTACTGTTTGGAAAGATTCCTCTTAACATGTATGTTCAATAACATTTATTTTCAGGGGAATGGAATTTTCAAATTAAATTTAAAGATTAACATGGGCAGCATGAAAAGGATAAAATTCACTAATATATTTGGGAATTGAAAATTAGTGGAATATAATTTTTGAAAGAATGTTAAGTGTGGGAAACGTTCCTAATAATACTTGCTGATACTACTAATGATTCCTGCTGATACTTGTAAATCTTTCTGGAAAATTGATGCAATTAGTTAATACAGTGAACCCCTTGCTTAGTGAAACCCTGTTTCAAGGTAAATTTGCAATTAAGGTAAAATATCTGGTCCTGAAAATACTGCCGTAAGAAAAATGCGTTTGTATCATTGATTTAGTGATATTTATTTCTGAATAAAACTCCGGATTTAAGGTAAGTAAATCAGATTCAACAGCTTCTCAACAGAACCGTTTAATGTTTTTGTACCAATGTTCACACTTCCAATAAAGTGACAAAGTGATACACAAAGAATACAACTGCCTCGTACCCGTGAGAGCCTAATGACATACCATATTGAGGCCACCAAGAGCAGTGTAATATTTTTATTTTTTTTTATTTTGAGCGTATTACTTGTCCTGAGTTCCTGTTACATTGCTTATCTTTCATGGTGCTGTGTTAGTCATTGATCTTGTCTTTGTAAATTAAAGTATTGATTGATTAATTCATTTTTATGTAATTTTAAAGTAAATCATAAATTTAAAAAATTTGCACTTTCTGGCATTAATATCCCCCCCGGCCATTTAGTGTAAATCTTCATTTCAGGTAAAAAGTCTTCCCCAAGATTACACTAAATAGGGGTTTCATTGTAATTATATCTCTTTATACCAATTCAGCAATTAAAGAGAGAACCTTAGATGTTTGGGGAAATTTTTCTTTAACAAATGAAGATGGAATAGGGGAACTAACAAATATCTTATTATATGAATGAGTTTCTCTGCTTTATTGTTGTTCTGTGATAATCTACGTAATAGAAAAACAGTTGTTTGTTAACCATTTCCATTACTGCATTACTGTTTGTGATATGACTTTGCAATGTACCGATCTCTGCAGTGACGGAAAAGTGGAAATTTAAATGTTGAGATCATCAAGTGGATTTTAATCTAAGTGGTGCTAAAACTAGGCATATTTGTTCTGCAACTTCGTATTTTTTGATAATGATATAATAACAAGGATCATTCACAGAAACTTTAAGAATACTGAACCAAAAATAATTCAGTTATTAACATTATTTCCAATAATAATATTTTATATTGTGTTCCTATCTCAGAATACCTTGGGTCTCTTTTTTTATTTGTGTCGCTTTCTAAATGTGTGTTGGTTTCTTAGTTCTTTTTACTCCATATTTTTCTTTGCCATTTTTCCTTTCATATATGTATGTGAACTGAACTCTGCTGACAAACTTTGGAAAGTGACTCTTAAGTAACATTGAGTAGGAATGTTCTTCTGATTATTAGTCAAAAATATAGTTTATAAACAGAATTATTCTCACAATTCAGAATTCTTTATTACGAAGCAGATGGGCGAGTGTGTTTCAAATGTATCTCGTTTCTCCTGTGCGCCACTGATAAGGCATACTGACATCATCAATATCGCTGTTTTTAAGTCAAAGTGTGCCAGTGCATAGAAATGGACGTACTGTTTTGAATCCTCTGTTGTGAAAAAACCAGTCAGCATTAACTAAATGTTTTCAGGTCCATTTTTATCTTCCATCAATAAGTCACCTTTTGAAGTTTGTAGTTAGAGTTCTAGTACATTCTGTATACGAGTATGCACATCATTGTTTTAAATCTTTCTTTTCAAAAGCTTGATGAAAAATATCTTATTTTTCTCTGATTTTAATTAATTCATGAATTTGATCCCTTTCACAATGTTATCATTGATGTCCTTTCTCTGCCCTCAGTATGTCTCCACAAAAACAAGTAATACATATCTGTCCAAAATGTCTTTTCAATTGACATTTATTGTAAATTAGATAAGAATTCTGTTCGAATGCAGGACAACGTTTTTTCGTTATTGTTTATGAATGATGGTTTTGTGTGGTGGTAAGTTGTAATATTTTCTGTAGTTAAGTATAGAATAAGTTTTTCATTTGCAAGTAATGTGATCATATAAAAAGGGGAAACAATCATAGGGAAAAAATTACATGGAAGTTTACATCCTGAGTTTCATTTAATCACACAAGTGTTTTGCAAGTGTGTTGTGTGCATGAGCTATGTAGGTAAAGATAAGTAAAGAAAAGCAAAAATATTTGTTTCTACTGGTACCACAGTTTTTACTTTTTACCCTGGCATGTTCGTTTGGATATTAACCAGGTTTATAGACAAGAGTTCTTGATCCAGAGCATGAAAATAAAAACATTTTGATATGTATTTCTGTAATTCAGAATTTTTTATTTTATTTTCATGCTTTCATTCAAGATCTCTCACTTTCAAACCTAGTTAGCATTGAAACGAATGTATCTGGATGGAAAAAAATGCTGTGTATTTCGGTGGATTTCTGTGAATGTAATATTTTTTTTTTCATTTCGTTACACAGTCCCAATTTTTAAAGGTAAAAAAATTAAGAAGCAGTGTCATTTATTGCCTTGAATACAAGTTGTACAGCTATCATAAACCTTACATCATTTTTGAAGTGATGTTATTAAAGAATACAAGCATTTTTATTTTCTGAAATACAACAATATTTGTCTTCTGTTTTCAAATTTGCTTTTGTTGAACACTTATTACTCAACATCTTCACTACAGCATTGTGAGTAGAGAATTAGCGTTCTTTGCAGCGGGTTGATTTGCACTTCAAGTAATTTTGAAATTTTTTTTTGGAAGCTTGATTTGATTTTTTTGTGTTCAAAATGTTTCTTGAATATATTCCCAAATATTTATTGAGTATGTTATTAATTATTTAAATGAAATATTGAAGAATTCGTGTCAGTGTCATTAAATTTTGTTGATTGATCAATCTGTGAAGTGAAATTATTTATTTTAAAGTCATAATTTACATTATTACTGATAGGAATTTAGAGTAAATATAAACACAAATATAAAATAGTTTAAATGATGAAATTGTAAATGGAAAGTTGATAATGTTCATTAACTCCTTAGTGAAATAAGATTCATATACAATTCATTGTTTGAAGGAAATATGGATTTCGGGTAGTCCCTAATGATGTACCTGTCACCTATGTTAAAACAGTCTTACACGACGTATTGAGCATTGTTTAAAGCAAATTTTATATTGTTAATCACTTTCTTAGCATAAGACACAATAAGAACTTCTGCAATGAATCCAATGTATACTGTTGCTGAATTGGGAGAGTATTTAGGCAATGTTTTTCATGTGTGAGGTACATTATATATCATTACATATTGGTTCTTCTCTCAGAATAGCTGAACACAAAATATACAACTGTTGTATTGTAAAAAATAAATTGTAGCCATCTCGTTGTCTCATCTCAAAGATCCTATCACTATTGATTTTACCCTGCAGTTCCAGTCTGTTCGAGTGCAGTTGGCATGTGCCATCATTCTTCTGCACCGGATTCCCCAGGCCTTGAGGGTCAGCGAGGACACATGCCCCAGATGTCGGGAATGCAGATGTGCTTCATGAAGATTCCTGAGTGTCCATGTGAACACAGTCTACCCAGTAGTCCCCAAAAGCTCCTTCCTCAACATTGTCACATTGCTGGTAGAGCAACACATCAGAAATTGCAGGTAGAGGTTTTTTGCAGTTGTTGCCTTCAGCTGGTCTCATTTCTGTTGTGAGTATTGTCTCGTAAACATTGTACCATATGCAGAAATGTGTTAAGTTTGTTATCTGATGTTGGAGGATTGTGTCCAGTCTTGATGCACAGGTAGTAAGATCTTCCATTTCATGAACTTGTCAAGCGTTAACTGTGGTCCCTATTTTTTTTCACTTTACTTACATGTTTCTTTTATTTGGAGACTGCCTATACAAGTGAATCATTTCAAAGCTTTTGACAATACATTTATTACTTCACTATGCTTTAGAGTTTAAATTGGCAAAAAGGTTTGCTCTGGTTTTAGTGCTTTGAAGTATGCAGATAGATTTGTTTATATTCTTTGATATTTGAATATTTTGACAGTCCTTTAATGTTCAATGTTTTATAAATGTTAACTGAAATATATGCAAGTTCATGGAATCAGATTTATTAAGGTTACTAGTGTAAAGAATGGTTATTAGATACCTTAATAAGTCAGTCATGTGACATGTAAAGACCAATATCTTATCATATTGCACCACAATTTGCGTTAATAAGAAGAAACAGCATTTCTTGAATTCACATGTGCAGATAAACTTTAGTATTTGTTCATTAAAATCAAGGAGTGTGCAAGCTCTTTCAAATAAACAAACGTTAATTGGGAGATCTGATCATCAGCAATATCACATGTCCATAAGAGTTGCTATTTTCCTCTGTGTAGTATTTTTCATTGTTGCTGTAGAAATTAACTTATCTTTCTCTGCATCGTCTCCAATCAACATTGTAGT